AAAAGAGAAAAACATAGGAAATTTAAGAGGGAAGGCTTCTGTGGATTTGGTGACTGAGTAGTTACCAATTCAACATACATGTTTCAGTACCTACTAAACCAGTCGAGAAAATCTGTTTCCCAACTCCTCTCCTCAGTTTTACTCTCCCTGCTTCCGCTCTGATTTCTTGAGAAGGACCCCATGCAGTTAGAAGAGCAAGGACAAGGGATCCCCGTGGAAACAAACCCCGAAGTGTGACAGGGAAACCACAAGCATTGTAATGCAGATTCTGTGGCCTCCCAAACGGACTGACCTGTTGCTTTTGTCACCACAGATACTTAGAACACCAGACCCAGGTAGCTTTTCCTGTACTGGTCAATACACTAATGTTTTTTACTTTATTTTTGAGAGTGAGAAAGAGAGAGAGAGCAAGCAGGGGAAGGGCAGAGAGAGGGATACACAGAATCCACAGCAGCCTCCAGGCTCTGAACTGTCAGAGCCCGACATGGGGCTCCAACCCATGAACTGTGAGATCATGACCAGAGCTGAAGTCAGATACTTAAGTGACTGAGCCACTCAGGTGCCCCAAGATGGCCTTTAAGATAGAGGTTGGCTTTCCTTGATAATTGAAACTGGCATCTATACTTGGACCCTAAAAGGAATCAGGTGAAGATCAGTGGAGCCTCAGGGGCTGTTTAAAAAGGTATTTGTTTACCACTATTCCTTTTGGTTTCATTTTTATGGGAACCTGCAGCTTAGGAAAAAAAAATCTATATAGGCGGCCAAAAGATGCTTTATTCTATTACCAAGCGTCTACTGTTATGGAAGACCCTGGACCAAAGCAGAGCAGGGAATACAAAAGGTAAACATGAAAAGTAACTGTTTGCAAAGTTTATCATCTTAAAAAGGTGGGGACCAAGCTATAAAGGAGCAGAGTTTTTATATTTTATTAAACTGGCATAAGTTCAAATTAGAGGCTTTATAACTTTAGGATGTTAAATGTAACCCATGTGATAACCAAAGAAAATAGCCATAGAATATACATAAAAGGAAACAAGAAAGTAACTTAAATGTTTCAATGCCAAAAAACCAATTAAGTACAAAAGACAGGAATGCAGGATATGGGGGACAAAAAGCTATAAGGCATTTAGAAAACAGGGGCACCTGGGTCACTCAGTGGGTTGAGCGTCTCTTGATTTCAGCTCAGGTCATGATCCCAGGGTTATGGGATAAAGCCCCACATTGGGCTCCACACTGAGCATGAGCCTGCTTAAGATTCTCTCTACCTCTGCCCCTCTGCCACATGCTGTCTCTCTCTCTAAAATAAAAATATTTTAAAAATAGCAAAATGACAGAATTAATTCCCTCTTTATTAGTAATTATTATTTTTAAAAATTTGTTTTATTTATTCATCTTGAGAGAGAAAGCACAAGCGAGGGAAGGGCACAGAGAAGGAGAGACAGAATCCCAAGCGGTGTCCGCACCATCAGAGCAGAGCCCAATGCAGCACTCGAAACTACAAACTGCGAGATTATGACCTGAGCTGAGATCAAGAGTCCGATGCTTAACCAACTATGCCACCTAGGCACCGCTCTATTAGTAATTACTTTAAATATAAATGACTATCAAAAGAAGGAGATTGACAAAGCAGACAGGAACACATGATTCAACTATCTGCTGTCAGGGCGCCTCGGGGGCTAAGTCTGTTAAGCATCCAACTTCAGCTCAGGTCATGATCTTGAGGTTCATGAGTTTGATACCCACATGGGGCTCACTGCTGTCAGTGGAGCCCACTTTGGGTCCTCTGTCCCCCTCTCTGCCCCTTCCCTGCTGTCTCTCAA